AGGGGGAGGGGGACGTGCGCCGAAGACTAAATTTGCATTTATCTCTTAAACGACCAGATTTCCTCCAGTGAGTCACTTAATTATGATAAAGTGCTGAGGGAAAGCTCTCTCACTTTTTGGCCCTCTTTCTTTGCTACAACTGCGTTTTGGCCCAATAGCTAATCCTAGCTCTCTGCTAGTCAACACTAGCACAGTCTTTTTGGGGGAGGGGGGGAGAGAAGAGAAGAGAAGAGAAGAGAAGAGAAGAGTAGAGAAGAGGAGAGAAGAGAAGAGAAAAGAGAAGAGAAGAGTAGAGAAGAGGAGAGAAGAGAAGAGAAAAGAGAAGAGAAGAGTAGAGAAGAGGAGAGAAGAGAAGAGAAAAGAGAAGAGAAGAGTAGAGAAGAGGAGAGAAGAGAAGAGAAAAGAGAAGAGAAGAGTAGAGAAGAGGAGAGAAGAGAAGAGAAAAGAGAAGAGAAGAGTAGAGAAGAGGAGAGAAGAGAAGAGAAAAGAGAAGAGAAGAGTAGAGAAGAGGAGAGAAGAGAAGAGAAAAGAGAAGAGAAGAGTAGAGAAGAGGAGAGAAGAGAAGAGAAAAGAGAAGAGAAGAGTAGAGAAGAGGAGAGAAGAGAAGAGAAGAGAAGAGAAGAGAAGAGAAGAGAAGAGAAGAGAAGAGACAGTGATCTGTGTGTCACAATGCAAGGCACAAGCAGATCTCTGTATTCAGGGGATGCACTGCTCATCTGACTCTTGGGCCGGATGAAATCATATTTCAAGCAGAGATGTAGCAGGAGTTACCAGCTGAGCACATTCTACCTTGTTTTGCACCTAAGTGAAATAGTTTCGTTTTAGAATCTTGTGTAATATTTGGCTTAATGCATCTCCAGAAAAGAGAATGTTCTCATGAATGCATTTAATGATGCAGCAGTAACGGGAAGAGATTCATAGACTGATCAGAAGACAGGATACCTACCCTTCATTCTCCAATAGCCCCCTGCAGTCCACCACAGACCCTCCTGTGCCTATCCTGTCTCGTGTCTGTAGGCTGACTGGAATGAGAAGAAGGGAAACAAAAATTCACATTCAAAGCTTCCGTTTGCAAACAAAGTACAGCAACGAAAATGCAAGAGCATCTTGGGGAGTGCTTTAACTTGATGTGGCAAGCATTTTTGTACATTTTTTTTTTAATACTCTCAAGTATTTGGCCATGATCCACATGCAGAGTTCCTCTTACGAAGGCAAGTCTGGATACTTTGCTGCAGTAGCTTGTGTCTTAACAGGCAATGCATTTCCATATTCTACTAATTCAATCAATCTTTAATGACAAAAAGGAAAAAAAAATAATACAGTAAGCCCTCTCTTCCAAATGCATCCTTAATATTTCAGGAATTAAGACCACTGTCAATTAAAAACAATCAACCAAGCACCCACTGCACAATAATTTAGACTAAAGTCTGTTTCCAATGTATAATACTTTAGCTAAAAAACACAAGGCCTTCCATATTAACATGCAATTGCAAAATTCTCTTTTTCTTGACAAGAGTGAGGATACCAAATTTGTCACACTAGATGGCACTCTAAAACGGAAGTCATTTTTTACCACCTCTGCATTTTTTACTTCACAGAAAGAAGTTATCATGTCATCCCTGTAGCCACAACGACAACCTCAAGGCAACTAAACATCAGCTTCCTTTAGAAAATTTACAAACTACAGTCTTACTAAACTTTGGTAAGGATATTCTGCTTACATTAACTATTCTGTATTTATTTGCAGAGTCACAGTTTCACTTAGCAATCGCTTCATTTAACAACCACATTGACAGTCCCAATTGTGGTCACTAAATGAGGACTACCTGTAAGCTTCCATATCTGGAAATAATTTTAGAACTGTAGCACTGTTAATGAAGAAATGCATCCTGGGGCCATTGTTCAGCATTCCCAACCTGCCACCCTCTATGTACATTGGATTACAATTCCTAGAATTCCCAGCAAAGCTGCTAAGTACAAGGCCTCCAATGGCTGTCCAGCTTCCCAGGGTAATCTGTTCCATTTTTTAATAACTCTGCTATCAAGTGTCTCCCAGCATGGAACTCTGCTCCAAGGAGGATCCCTAAAAGTCAGTGGAATACACTTTTCAAAATGAACTACCCTGATTTCCTGGCGTAATATGTGAATTAGAAGACATTTAACCCTTTATGCACTCCTACCAATTTTTATATTTTGCTTATGCAATTTATCTACTGTCCCAATCCTCATGGGCTGCAGGCAGCTAAAGACACCAAATAGTAGTAAGGAAATATAGTACTTTTTAAAACTTGAACAAAAAATGGAACAAATAACATTAAGCATGTATGGTTCTATAGTCAGTCTCTAAAGGCTTCTAAAAAAATGTATCAGAATGTTTTAGGTAAAATGTATGTACTTTATTAAAAAGTACATGTTAAAATGTGTTTTTTTTTTAAAAAAAAACACAACTGATGCAAAAATAGGACGGAACAGATTTGTGAATGAACACATGCAAAACTAAGAAAGGAGGGAGTTAGACTGATCTGCCTTAATTTCCTCCCATTGGGTTGTGGTTGCAATAAACAATCCTGAAAGCTGAACATAACATCCATTCCCCAGATATTCTGTGATCTGAGTGCCTCCATTTTATCCAGAGCTGAACAAAACAGCTATATTTTTGTTATCTGTGCAGACAAAAATGTCTTCTTACCCACTATCTGGCCTCGTACTGCATCAGTGTCTGTGGGATTTAGTTTGCATAGATCCAAACGCTGGTCTGAAACAAAGAGGGGAAAAAATTCACCCAAGGATGTATACAACTGGGATTCAATGTTCAGAATGTAGACGCAAAATACTGCCAAACTCAGAAAACATTTGGTAAGAAAGACATGCTTACATCCTGTATCTTTTAGCCTGCTGATGGCATTAGAAAGAAGTCGGACACATCCCAGGAAGCCAGCTCCCTGTTTTTTGTGAATTTTCTTATGGTTCCAGACACTGATGGTGATAGAATCTGACTTTCCAACGTATCTAGAATAATCAGTTTGAAGATGATATTTAATGGAGGCTCATTCTCTGCTACAGTACAACTTTCCCATTTGTGAACATTGAACTCATTTCAATAATGCTTTGGTTACACTACCACTTTATCAAATGAGAGAAACATGTAACTAATCATTAGATTACTGTAATTTTGCACAGCATGTTAAATAGATAATGCACAAACATTTGCTAATTACAGACCATCTTATTATAAACTACAAAGCGCAGAGCCCATCAGACTATGGAAAGACTGCTTTTCCTTAAAATTGGAGTTATTCCATCAATGCACATTTTTGTACTATTACTACATAGGACAAGAGACATTTTCTATTCCTAACAGCCATGTAGTTATGCAAGTATTTCTATAAAGTGATACAGGTTTCAATTTCTGAAACTCATAAGTCAGACAAAATGCCATGTTTTAAACTGAGGGGGCTTTCAAAAGTACATTAAGACATAGTAGTTTGGGCACACCTAAAATAAGGCCTTGGAGTCTAGCCAATAACGCAACTCACAGCCCCCAAAATGAAGTCTTGCAAATTATTACACAACTCTATTCTCTAACAAAACAGACTAATAATCATGCCTGGGGAGTGGGCATTGCCTCAATAATAATCTGGATCAGCACTGCTGTTATGAAGAGTCTTAGAAAGAATTGTTATTTTATGGTGCTTTTTGGGACTGCTTTCTTATTTTATTTTGTATTTCTACTTGCATTTATTGTGTTATTTCTCTTTTGTTGTAAGCTACCTTGGAGCCCAGTTCCTAGGTACAGATCAAGGTTATAAATATTTCATGTAAATAAAGAAGAGGTAAGAAACAAGGATTGAGACTTGGAATCCCTTGCTGAACAGGCAACTTACAAATCATAATGCTGGTTCCATTTGGGATCTAAGGTGTTCTTCACAGTGTCAGTGGAGTGGCACTGACCAGACCCATCCACCACAATCTTTGCAAAGGGGTCAGGAAGCCCTGCAAAGAACAAAGGCAGCCCCGTCACCACAAAGACCAATGAAAGCAGCAGGTGAGTAGTGAACAGCGGTGTTTAACAGCTGCTCTCCTGGTAATCATGAGAAGAAAGGTTGAACAGTTGCTTGGAATACAGAATATTTTCTCTCTAGGAAAGGTTCTTTCACTTTGGAAGGTATAGAGCAGGGTGTAAAAAGCATGGACCATGAACCGGATGTGGCTTATCAGACCTCTTTTTGCGGCCTCCTGGCTTAAGGCCCTTATTCCAATCCTTGAGCCCCCCAAAGACCCCAAACCGAGGGCAACGTTGGATCCAATCCACTTTTGCTGTGCTGTACAAGCCTTGGGTGGTCCTTGAGTTAAGGAAAGTTGCATGCCTCTGGAGGAGAACAAGAATTTCCTGTGAAGCTCAATCAGTAACTAATTTTATGACATGGTATTTTTAAAGTACACTGAAGTTCTGAAAAATGCAGCTAAGCCTTTTTCAAGTATCTAACATATGATTTTTCAGCTTGTCACACCAGGCCTGCCTATGAAAAGAACCTGCACATCTGATAATGCAATGGTGATTCCCAAGTTAATTCACTGTGACGTGATATTACCATCTCATGAGAGCAGATATTTACCATGCCTTATAGCGCCTTTTCCCAATTTAGAAGAAAGAGAGTGAGCATGAACAGAAATATATTTGCTCACAGTTGCCAGAATCAAGATCTGTTTTAAGTAGCTCACAGCAAAAAGAGCACAGCTTGCTGCTTCATGGTCTGGTGAACAGAAATTTCAGACAGTTATGCTTCCGACTCTTGAAAATCTTTCCTTAAATGCCCTCAGCATTTAAAGGAAAGGACTAACATCAGTATAATAGCTTAAATATGCACAAGGGATGGGGTGGGGAGGTAAGAAAAAGTATATAGATATTTCCAGTTACTTACTGAAGAAATCTTTCTTTGCAAGATTCTTGGCACAAAGAACTGCAAGAAAAAGAAAAAGGTTAGCAGATTCCACTCATGTTTCAGTATAAACAACTGAAGCTGGGAAAAGATTTCTCTTACCCACCCAAGGGCACAATTTATAAAAAGCTAAGAAAAGAATACAACTGGATTAACAAATAGCAGCATTAAATTTGATTATTTTCATGAACTGCACAGCACATATTTCCCCAAACCTGGGCTTTTACCTACTAATTCATTTATGTGGAGAAATCGTGATAGTTCATTCATCATATTAGGAACTTTTTTTTAATTGGCCATTTCTAGGATTTAAAAAAGTCAGATGAGGTTTGGCTTGTGTGATCCAATGAAAGCATAATTGAGTTTAAAGCATTTTCCAGCCAGTTTTGTGGTTTCTTACTATGGCTTTTAAAAAAGTATTGGATAAAGGACCTCCTCCAGCAAAAAGAGTACTATCACAGAGGTGCTATTCTTGACAAAGAGAGACGTTTTGATTAGTGAAAGAAGGACACAATAACACCGCAGACCATGGCAGAAGAGGCAGACCGAAAGCTCAACTGGTTGCCTTTAAACAGAAATATTGTGAAATGCTGAATTTATGAGACTGATTGAAAAGCGTTCAAGTGGAACAGTTGTCAGAACATAATTTCTTTTATTCATAGTCCTATTGGGAGTAATGTTGCAAAAGTAACCATGTAGCACACCATCCCTCCCACCCTCTTCCTCACCTTCCTAATTATTAAGGAATGCAAACTAAAATTAAGTACAATTGTATGTTCAATCTCAATCATAATTAAACTCAGCTAGATCTAACTACTGTCTACTCCATAACATAAATCAACAATTTAAAAGCATATTTTTTGGTTATTGATGTAGCTGTATTTGGGTTCTTTCCTGACATCTATGACTTGACTGCAAAGAGCACTTCCAGCCTATAACAAAGTAGAACTATGTCACATTTGCAACTGCAACTGCAATTATATAAAATAGCTGTGAAGAAAGGAAGAGTCAGTTCAATTCTAAGATGCACTTTTTGCAGAATAAATAGGAATCCTTTCACCATTACTCACAAGGATGAAAGGAAGACTCACAGTGGAAAGAGTGTGGTAAAATGGCCCTCAAGACATAGATCTATGTGTGGAAGACTTAAGCTTTCCTTCCTATCTCCAGAAGAAAATCTCCCCGCCTTTGGAAAACTAACATGCCAGGAAGGTTTACCTAGTCTTTATACACCAACATTTTCTTAAAGTGTTCAAATATTATTTTTGAAACAGTTCTAAAATAACTATGTATGATTGATTGCGTGCCATCAAGTCAGTGTCACCTCTGAGCAACCACATAGATTCTCTCCAGGAGGATCTCATCCTTCAACTTCTAGACTGACTCTCTATAAAAGTACCTCTCCTTATGGACAATTAACATATCATCAATAGCCTTAAAACATATACCTTTTGCTGATACAAGCACCCAATATACTACAATACCATTACTTTTGCTGTATGCTTCTAAAAATCATTTTCTTGCTAGACTTTAATGACAAATAACATACATTCATGATAGGAAGTTCAGAGGGCTATACTTGTGCATGCATGAGCAAGCACATCAATAAAAACAAAGAATACTTTGAAAGATAAGACCAAAGGTTTGTTTAATCAGAAAATCCATTTCTAGTACTGCTCTGTCAAATACACCCACTAGCTGCCAACATCTGGCCTTTAAAAGTATACCCTGAACATGAAGGGTTCATTTATATACCAAAGTCAATACTAAAGGCCAAAACAAATCATGTTCTCCAGATTAGATGAGTGTGACAATACGTTTTTAGCTGTATCTGAATTATCCGAAGTATTTTGTCCATTTTCAATTTAAGGAAAACATTCATTCCTTGAAAGTTGTAGCTACATGAAGAAAGGAAGACAGGCTGAATAATTAAGATTATGCTGTATGTTTGTAGGAGAGTTTTAGACAAAGGTATTTATAGCTGAAGGGAATGATGTCTCCTTCCTGCTTCACATTAGATTCCCTTAAATTCCACTTTTTTCCTTCAGCTGAACCTACTTTTGCTATCAGGGTTTAGTTGGGATGACAAAATGGATTTGACAGGCTAAGACTCTTGGCCAAATCCAACACAGTGAAATGTAACAGAAATTAAAAGTTCTGCATAAGCAGAAGATGTTTGGCTTGGCAGTGATACCTATGAGAGAAGGATCTAGGTATCCTAGCTAGTCACAAGCTGAACATCAGCCAGCGTGCAATGTGGTTGCAAAACAAGTTAAAGCCATCTTAAGCTGCTTTAACAGAGGCACAGCATTCAGATCATGGCAATAGTTCCATTCTGTAACACAGGGTTTAGGCTACAACTGGAGAACTGTGTCCAGCTCTGGATGAAACGGTTTAAGAAAAAGACTGAATAAGTCAAACAACTCTTAGATGGATGGGTAGGATAACAAAAGATTTAGGATCTAAATTTTATCAAAAACAGTTGGAAGAGCTGAATATATTTAGCATGGAGAAGGGAAGATTAAGGGCTGACAGAATATCTGTCAGGAGATGATCCACTCACCTTCCCTGGAGGCATTTAGCAGAGGATCATTAGCTACTTCTTATTAGTCACAATATTCCTACACCGGGAAAGAGGTTTGGTTGGATGATATCCAAGACCACTTTCAATTCTATGATTCTCTGACAACTGATAGACCACGGAAAACTAAATAATGAGTTGGGAAAGGATTATCCCCTCTTCAATTACACATGATTAGGCTAGAACTTTAAATGGAGGAATCTGCTGCCACCGTATCTAGTTTAGCCGTCAACTGGCCACAAAGAAAAGCCAGTATCCTAGTTACCAGACCACATTAAAATAGTCCAGAGCTGGATTTTTCATCTCTAAAGAATATGCAATCTTGCATTTTATCTTTTCTTTTGGTTTTACAGAAATAACACATATTTGGCAGGAACACCAAAACATAAGAACATTAATTTGACTACTTTATGAGATCTGATTGTGGGTTCAGTCAAAACAGTACTGTTATTTCTTTTATTCCAATCTTAGCAACTGCAAGCCAAGAATGAACCAACAGATACCTCATTTCTTCAAGACAGAATTATGTTTGATTCCCTACAAAAGTAACCTCCAACTTGGTGCTCTCAAAATGACCCAAACTTCAATTTCCAGAACTCCCAATCAGCATGGATTTTACCTATATATTTTGCAAATTCTGAAGAACTCCAGACTGGAGAAGGGCTCTCTAAAATAATTGTGTGTGCATGGTGGGGGATGTTATAAGGCAGTATGTTCATTTTATGAAGCACAATCTGTTTGTATCAACGGTTATCCAGTCTTGTAATGGAAACCCTCTCCCCTCAACAATTTAAATATCAGCAATGCTATTACTTACTGAACTGCCTAAGTTCCCATAGTAAAATCAGAATCTGCTGTATGCTCAGAGCGCCCAAAACAATATGTGTTATTGCTATGGGGTATACACACACCATACCACAATGTTTCTATTTGTCACAGAATAAACTGGCTGAGAACCACTACAGGTTGGGGGGGGGAGGGGGAGGGAGGGAGAGAGAGAGAGAGAGAG